TATATATAGTTTGTTTGAATAAATAAATAAATAAATCAAAGAAGACTTCATGTTTTTTGAATTCTGACTGGACTTCTGTTAATTTATCAGTCTTTGTTCCACCGGTGGGTAAAAGCGATGTAGTTTCTTCCTTTAAATGTTTCCAGACTCTACTGTTTTATTTTTCTTTTTATAAACCAGGTTCTCAGACGACTTCCTCCGGTTCTGACCTGTAGCTTGACACCCTTACAAAGAAATAAAAACGTGAAAAGACTTAAGGGATTTCAGGAGTGACTGTTAAGAGGTTTTCATGTTTAAATCGTTTTCTTAAGGAGAATAAATGCTGCTGTTTCAGCTGCTTGTTGGTCTCTATAAGCTCACCTGCTGATCTGGTGCCACACCTGTTCACACTGCAGGTCCTGATGCTTCATTCAGACCTTCTGACAACAGGTTTGTCACGTTCAGACTGTCAGTAAAAACTCAGATTTGCCTGCAGTTTGACCACAGTCACCAGCACCAGAACCATTTTCAGCTCATGTCCGTGGACTCTGGTGCCCTGCAGAGCGGTGCTGATGATGCTGATTCTGTATCTTCCTGCAGCACGCCTCACTGTCAGGCCTGGTCACATTGTGCACCAGCTGTGCCATCTCCGCTGCCCTTTCACAGCGTACGATGGCCAACATGCCAACCCTTGACCGCTCATGATTAATGAGGGCAGAGGCCACCGGCGGGACCGGACCCCTGTGGAGGGAGGTGATTCTTCTTCCACCTCACATGCATATTTTTCTCATCCGTCACTAATCTGTTCCTTTTATCTCAGCTTCCTGTTTTCCTGCTTCTAGTTGCACTCAGGCATCAAACTGTTCAGGAATTATCTGCAGCTGACAGAAGACTGGCTTACAGGAAGCTGATTGTTTGTCTGTTTTGAATCAATTATTGAGCGTGAATGTGATGTATCTGCTCCAGCTGAAGTCTCTGTGAGCGTCTCCACCACCAGAGGAACTCTGATGTATTGCAGCTCTGAAGGAAAACGGGTTATTTAATTCCCTCTGTGGCTCAGTGATGAGTGACTGCGTGTCTGTAATTGAGGAATTACAGCGTGCGTGTTTATTATGGGAACACCACGTTGATCTGCATAAGCAGGCATAATTACAGGTTGCTTCGTGTTTGTTCTCTGGAGAAGTTTTAACTCCGAAATTAGGATCTGCCTCAGTTTCCACGTCTCATCGGAGAATATTTCCTCTGCAGTCAGTGGAGAAACAAACACCTCAATTATACTTTCTGCTGTTTCTGTGATTCCTTGTAATTAAAAACGTCTAACGATGACTTGTTCAGGAATGAATACTGCTTTATTTTAATGGATTTAGTTTAAATGTTGAAATGTACGACGGCGTATTAGGGCCACTTTGCAGATGAAAATAAAAAAGAAAGAAGGAGCAAATCTCTGAGAAAAACCTCAGAATTTCTGAGATTAATTTCAGAAATTTTTGTGGGAAAAAAAAGGAAATTCTCTTATTTTGAAAAGTCATAAATTTGCGAGAAAAAAACTCAGAAATTTCCATAATTAAAAGCAGAAATGTGCGACATTTGAACTGGATATTTTCTGACATGGTAAAGTCAGAAATTTACAAGAAAAAAACTCATAAATTTATGAGAAAAAAACGCTGAAGTTTTCAGGAATGGCTAAAGGGCGATTCCTCCTGTTTTCACTACCTCGAGCATCTTTAATCCGCTCTAATTTAAAAACTAAAACACAAAGAGACTTCAAACCTGGACTAGATTATTCTACACTGATTGCAGAATGTTTACAACCAAGTGTGTCATTTGTGAAACGTATATTTGATATGTGAAGCTTAAGGAAATACGGTGATTTCAGCACTTTTTATGCTTCTTATAAACAGCATTTGTCCTGCTGCAAATGAACAAAAACATAATGTGAACGTCATTGAAAACAGGACAATAAACAGGTCATTTTATTAATAAATGCTGATGAAAAATAAGAGATGTGAGGTATGGAAGCTCATGAGGGTCAGTGCTACAACATGCACAAGTTTCAACCTTTAAATAAACACACACACACACACACACGCACGCACACACACACACACACACACACACACACAC